GAGCTGTGTGTCAGTCAGCTGGGGCTGCCGTGACCGAGTGCCCCAGACGGAGTGGCTGACACAACAGACATCTGTTGTCTCAGTTCTCAAGATAAATACGAGATCAGGGTGTGGGCAGAGTTGGGTCCTTCTGAGGCCGTGATGGAGAATCCGTTCCATGCCTCTGCCCTAGTTTCTGGCGAGTTGCTGGCAATGTTGGGAGTTCGTGGCTTACAGAAGCATCACCCCGGGTCTCTGCCCTCAGCGTTCGCCCTGTGCACGTCTGTGCCCAGCTTGTCCCTTTCATATGGAAAACTGGTCATACTGGGTTAGGACCCACGCAAATGACCTCATGTTAACTAATCGCATCTGCAAAGACCCTGTTTCCAAATAAGTCACATTCTGTGCTGTTGTGTGTTAGGATTGCAACATTAGAATTTTGGGGTGTATCTTCGTTCTTTTGACCGCTATAGCAAAATACGATACACTGGGTATCGTTTAAACAACAGGCATTTATTTCTCATGGTTCTGGAAGCCAGGAAGTCAAAGATCAAGGCACTAGGAGGGTCAGCGTCTGTTGAGAACCTGCTTTCTGGTTCATAGCGTCTTTTCGCTGTGTGCTCACCAGCCAGAAGGGGCAAGGGTGCTCCCTGGGGCCCCTCTTATTAGGGCCCTGATGCGGTTAGTGTGGGCTTCACCCTCATTTCCTGATCCTCTCTCGAAGGCCCCACCTCCTAATGCAATCACATTGGGGTTAAGTTTCAACATACAAGTTTTCTGTAGAGGGACACAAATATTCAGACCGTAACAGGGGGACACAGTTCAACCCATGACAGCCTACATCAAGGGCAGGCTAGTTCACAGAGGCTCCCCCTCACCAAACCGCCCACCCCCAAGGAGAAGTAGGAGGAGGAAGTATGACAGCTCACAGTGGGCAACAGGGGAGGACGTGGTCAAGGACATGAGAGGGCAGCACGGCAGGCCTCCCCACCCCCACTGCCCCAGGCATCCGGCCTGAAGCCTGGGGGAGGGGGGAAGCTTTAACTAGGACAGGATTGTGGAGGGGAGTCACCTGGATACTGCTTGGGGTTATTTTAATGACTGCATTGGGTTTAATGATGTTCCCTCCAGATTCATGTCAGAATACATCAGGTCAGAATATGACCTGATTTGGAAACGGGGCCTAGGCAGGTGCAACCAGTTGTAGGGTTGGCCCTAAATCCAGTGGCTGGTATCCTTAAGAGGAGAGGACACAGAGACACACAGAGAAGGCCACGTAATGACAGAGGCAGAGATTGCAGTAGGGAAGGCCAGGGACTGCCAACGGCCACCAGAAGCCCGAAGCCTGGAACAGATTCTCCAACACAGCCTCCAGCAAGAGCCAGCCCAGCCGACGCCTTGATCTCAGACTTCAGGCCTCTAGAACCGCGACAGAATGAGTTTCTGTTTCCAGCCACCTGGTCTGGGGTACTGTGGTACGGCAGCCCTTGGGAATGTGACACGGTGACCGGAACGAGATTTTGAAGATGATTATCATCTGAGAATGACCCTCAAAGTTGTCATTCTTGCCAACATGCTGTGCACTTGGAAGAGAGCAGCTGTGAAAGATAATGAAGGCCCCTTATCTCGTGATGCTCCCTGAGCCTTGTTCCAGCAGTGAAGTGGTTACTGCATAGTGATAAACATCGTTACCATATAGCTGCACTGTTTATATATTTATTATATAGAGAATACAAATGTGATATAATTAATACATAGTTACAGTATATCTGTACTATGTTATGTATATGTCCATACCACATAAATATCATTACATCTGCAATAGATAGATAGTATGTGTGTATATATATATATGTGTATATATATATGTGTGTGT